TCTCCTTCCTTGGAGTTTGTCGTCAGAGTCCCTGAGGCTATCCGGTCTGGCATGGTTCGTTGCCATTTCCGGGCCCTTTATACGGGACTTTCGGTGTTCCAGAGGACCGATGCTTGGTTTTTAGCGAGCGTGTTCTCTGGCAACTTTCGACCGAGGAGCCTTTGGTTCTAAGGGATCGCCGAATCCGGATGCTGCGTTCGGATCTGCTGTCTACCGAGAATCGAGCTCAGGCGATCCTTGGTTATCCAGCGGAGCTGCTGGTGCTATCGGATGCTTCTTATCCGGCTTTTATAGCATCCAGGCTGACTCCTTTTCCGGCCTTTGTTCCGATTAGTTTTCTAACTCTCTTTTTTCGTGTTTCTTTTTATTTTTCGGAATTTTGACCCTTTTATCGTTTTTTGTCACATATATTTTTAGCGGGTCGAGCTAGGTGGTTGGGTGCCTCCTACAGCGAAGATCACGTATACCGATGCTGTCGGATTAGTAATTTGTTAGACCCTTCCAGCGGCCGAGGATGATGAGGGATAACTTTTGTACCTGAGACAGCTGAGTCGGTATGCCTTTTATGTATATGTACTTAAGTATTTCTATTTTATTTTTGTTTCATATACATTTGTTTACTAACTGTCCTTGTATTCTTGGAACAGGTTCCGCGAGAGACCGTGAACGGCATGGTGAGGACTTTACGCGCTTTCCGAGCTGCTTATCGGAGAGCTCTCGTGACTTTGTCATGCCGTGATCATCCGATGATCGCGGTAAGTTTTATTATTATTTTTTTTCCTTGCAACGAAGTTATTACATTTCATGTATTAATCTTTGTTTTGGATTTTGCAGGATCTGCAGCAACCGTCTAGTATTCGCCGAGCACCCTGATTCCTCCTGTACACATTTATATATTTTTTTAGGAAACTTATGTATACATATATTTTTTATATTTTTTTTGTATATATTACACATTTGTATATATGTCATTATTACTATTATTATTTGTTTCCATGTGTACATTAATGCGAAAAAAATTTCGAGGGAGGGAAAGGGTTCCCGACTTACCCCCCTCGAAAAAAAAATAAACAACCTCCAAAAAAAAGGCAAAAAGAAGGAAAAAGAAAAAAGAAAAATAAAAACTAGGAAATAATAAAAAATAAACAAAAAAAGAAAGTAGGAAAACAATGGAAAAAAGAAAAATAAAAAGAAAACAAGAAAATAATAAAAGAAAATAAAAAAGTAGGCAAGAAAAGGGACACAAAGTGTTAGAAGACAAGCGTATGATTCGTTTTAAGATCTCGTGATGATTCCGTCATTATATGAGCCAAAATACGGAAATTAACCATAATTACATGCCGCGTCAGGGGAGTGGCGCACAACTTCGTGAGCTGTGCGCGGGAGTCGCGCGCATGTAATTTTGTTGCGTGCGGGTGTCGCTCACAACTCAAGAGTTTTGCGCTCCACCTGTCAGTGAACTTTCCTTTAAGCCGAATTTGCCGAAAATTTTCCACTCTTGGGTCTATTTAAACATGGTTTTGTGTAGGCTTTTGATCATCTCGCATTCAATCGCTTAGTAACATAAGAAATTAAAAATAATTAATCTCTCTAAAATCTTATTCTCTCTCTTTTTTTTTTTTGAACAATGGTGAAGACCTTTGAATAACGTTTGAAGCAATGGGTCACTTCCCTTTTCAACCGAGGACAAACTAGCTTTCAAAATTTATCACTTAGACCCTTTATTAAATTATATGCAATTAGTGGTTAACTTTGATTTTCTTCATGCCGCAGCTAACCATTGGGACTCTAACCACCATCTTTTCTTGTTTAGAGGGGTTGAAATTGTCCCCCTTCCTGGTGAGTTCGAGGCCTTGCTAGGTTTCCCTATAAACACTCTCCCTGTGACTTATTCGCCTACCTTGTCGGATCCCAAACCTATATTCCAAAGATCTTTTGGTTTGTCCGACAATGATATGACCAACATAGGAACTGAAGAAGGCGTGAATTTAATTCAATTTATTGAAGACTTCGTCGCCCCTCGTGCTTTATGTTATTGTCTTGTTGTTAATTGTTTACTTAGGACAAGCAAAGAATACAGAGATTATTCAATGGTGTCCATAGTAGAGCAAATAGAGGGATGTCATTCACCCGCTCCTTTGGTTTTGGAAAAAATCGTTCTGTGCTTGAATCGCCTTAGAGGAGATCCTAACGAAAGTGGTTTCACCGGAAGTCCACTCCTATTACACGTACGTTTTTTTTTCCGGCGTTTATCAGCGCAAGTCAAGAAGTTGCGTTGGCATGACCAGCGCAATCTTCTGAGTTGCGCGCGGAGGGTGCGTGCAACTGATTAAGTTGCGCGCGCCACCTGCTCGTGTAATAAATCGCAAAATAATTTTTTTTGTTTTTTCAAATTTGGCTCATGGAGCGTTTGCAAATTGTTGATCAGCCTCAAAACCTTGAGGCTAATGGAGTAAAGACATTTCCTGGACATCAAATCCTTTATAAGCATAAGAATGAAGAGGAATGGACGTCGTTTTTCTATCATGGAGTTCCTAACATACTGTTTGTGATTCCTTGGTGGAACATAAATAGTATGATTGGGAATAGTCTCAATTGTCCTTACATTAGGCTTTTAGGCCTATCTAGTACTACTTATATTTTCCTGGTAGGGTGATGAGACAATACGAGATGAAGCAATATATTCCTCCGCAATATTGTGATGCCCCTAAAGATGTGACTTTTAAACCCGAAAGGATTGCTCGTTGGATGGAATATTGGTCAAGTCTTCCTAAATGGGTAATACAAAATCCTCCTGCGAGTATCACATTATCTTCCTTTTACAAGGCTTGGATGAATGCGGCGGATAAGGATGAATCAAACAAGGCTCGATCTCAACTTCAAGCCACCACCGCTTGCAATCCACCTAAGCCTTTGATGCATTCAACCACTACTACTCCTCCTAGTGGTCAAAATAAAGGAGTGAGAAGAAAGTTAGACTTCTCGTCCCCTAAGGCTCATTCGAAGGAAACAAAAAGAAAGGCTCCTTCCAAACCCGCGCAACAAGGTATGAAAATTAAAGAACCTTCACCAAATACTCATAAGAAAGCTCCAATAGTCAAAGGGAAAGGAAAACAGGTTGCAAAGGCCCCAATCCCAAAATTGAAAAACAATGTTTGGGTGAAAAAGAACAGTGTAGGGGAAAGCTCCAAGGTTGCTGAACATGCTACGATGAAAACTACTCCTCCATCCTCTGTGACAATCCAGGACATAATAAAACCTTAGAGTGTTACACAATTTTATCATTAGTTTTTTTTCGAATAAAGTGTAATCACTACTATATTTTTCTCGTTTACTATCTAGTTCAATAATGTCTCTCTTTTGAATTTTGAATGAAATGGAGCTTCATATTTTTATATTTTGATATGACCGAATCATAAAGATTGCCTACGTATTCGCATTGCAAAATCAGGCCTTTGCGTAGTTCTAATATTTTATATATTTTTTTTTATGTGTTTGTTTTTTTTTTCTTTTATCTCTTAGACAGAAATTAAATAAAAAAAAATTAATCACACCTTGTTTACAAGAATTCAATCAAAGTTTAATTTTATTTTCCAAGTATATGTTATATTTAAGAAACACCTTCTTTTTATCGTAAGTAGAAATCGCAACTTCATTCAAACACAAAAAAAATTGGCTTCGCAGTCCGTCATCAGGTGGCGTGCGCAACTTTTGGAATTGCGCGAGCCTGTCGCGCGCAGCTATTTTAGTTACGCGCGACACCTGCGCTACGAATGTCTCGAAAAAAATTATATTAAAAACTCGTATTATTACCCCCCAAGTGTGAAGATTTTTTCGTAATGTTCAAAAAAATTTGAACACTTAAAACGGTTTATTATTTCTAAATTACCCCCCCCAAGTGTTATGTATTTTACCGTCCTATTCGGTGAAATGCATAAAACTTAGAATCTTTCAATTGAATGCTAATTAAAGTTGGTTGTATGAGAGAACGAGTTTTATCCAGATTTCATATTTAATATTTCTTAAGGCGATCATTGTTTATTAATTGGCAAATTTCATCTCCTCAAATATCCATTAACACTACAACAAATTAACACTTGTGCCACGAATTATGCCACGGGAATACAAAATTTGTGGCATAATTTGAGCTAGCCACGGGAAAAATAAATTCAATAATAAACTTGATATGACAACAAAAATTATGCCACGGGAAAAATGAAGTTCGTGGCTAATTGAAACTAGTGCCACGACTAAATTTTTTTCCCGTGGCAAATAAACACTTTTGCAACAAGAAATTATGTTCCCGTGGCAAAAGGACATTGTTGCCACAACAAATAATTTTTCTCGTGGTAAACATACACTAGTTTCATGGGTACTTTTTTTTTTATACCGTGACAATCATTCTCACACTTGTGCAACATTAAAATTTATTTCCGTGGCAGTATGTTAATACAAACAGATCATATTTTTTGTAAAGAAAATAAACTTAAATTAATGTTATCAATCTTTTAGTTTTAATCATGAGATATAACCTATGTAAAAATAAAAACTTTTTTACAAATTCTTACAAGTAAAATTGATGGAAACTTGATTATGCACCACTATAAATTAATAATCGTATTACATTTACTCAAATAAAATTCAAATTATTTCATTTTCAAAATATCGCACCTTGTAATTATTGTTAATAATTTTCGGAAAAAAAAAACCTTAGCGTAAAATAGCCTGCAAAACATTTTTTTTCAATTTGTAATTATTAATTCTGGGTCTTTTTGTTTGCATTTTTCAAGATTAGTTTATAATACAAATTGTATAACATATACATAAAATAAATTATTCTCAAATGAACTTCTGGAAATTGCACTAAGCTGGTAAAAGGTACAACACGTTTCCCTAAAAGATTATACATGAGCCAAATTGTTAATAACACTTCCTATTATAAAATTTTGCAGCAATACTTCGTATAGATGCATGTCTTAAAATACTAAGTAAAAAGGATCTTAAAATCAAAAATAGTTTTTGTGTACCACGAGCTTTCTCCAAAGAACAATTGCTACCAAGAAAGCTGAATAAAAGGTCCATGTTTCATTTTTGACAAGATATACAGGCACCAAAAAAACAAAACCAAGAAGTCAACAAACCGACTAAAAAACACTAGAAAGGTACGACACTAGCATGGCACTAAGGGGGAACCAGTTTGGAATAGCCATCCTTCGATATCCTCCTTTAGGGAACCTTAGCTAGTTCTAAAGGAACATCTAACGCTAAATTAAAATCATTTGATAGAGCTACACCAATGTTTGCAAGCAAGTTCGCTATGCGATTGCCTTCAGGATAGCCTTGAAGCACCTGGACTTCCCAATCTTCCTTTTGTATCAAATCATTACAGAAATCAATTAAGTAGGCACATTCACTCACATTATCTTGCTTGTTTAATTTGATAGCACTTGAATATAAGCCTTATTATCTAACTACACCACAAGTGTGTCAATACTGAGATCCCTGGCTAAGATCAGACCCTTCTTAAGCGCCAGAATTTCAGCTCGAAAAGCTGAGCAACACCCAAAGTTGGCTGAACACCCAAAGTTGGCTGAACACCTCGAAATTAACTTCTCTCATCTCTGATAATATCCCCTCCCCCAGCTAGCTCAAGAGAGCCATTTGCTGCTCCATCTGTGTTAAGCGTGCATCATCTTACTGGTTAATGGGAATGGGATTGGCTATGACTGCAATGCCTTCTACAGAAGCTCGGTCTGTCCTTTGCTAAAACCGGTAGCAGTTGCAGCAGATGGAACGCGCCCAACATACTCAATGTCGTCAGCAAACACAATGGTCGAAAGATGTGGACATAGATGAGGTGAAATATAGCTGTAAGCGCCCATGTTCATTGGCTCTTCCTGACACCAGACTACCTCAACATCTGCAGCAAATAGTCCAAGTCAAAATTCCTTTTTTTTTTAAATATATAATGGAAATTCTTGTTTATTTATATACTGGAATTTCCAAGTCTAAATTCTGATGCAACCAAAATTCTTGTTACATGATGCTAGAAATCCGATTATTAAGGAAAGTCTTGGTGTGTTTAGGAAACAACAATTATGTATATATCTTGTTTCTTAGTCTTGTATTATTAGGATTCTAGTGCTTTACTTAGTCACCAAGGCTTTGTGCTTAGATATAATGTAGCACATTTCCACAAGTTAAACTAAGTTGATTATATGCAACTTGAAGTAAAATGTGGAACGCTTAAATAACTGAAACTACACATCTCCAATGCCATCCACAGCACCAGCAAATCCCTCATTTTAAGTAAACTAGCTATAACAAATGTAACCAGACCAATTTAAAAACTTGTATATCGATTCAACTCTCAATGGACAAGGTCATATGGGAAAAGGCAAAGCTGCTCCACTCCACAGACCGCAACATCACTGCTATTTTGTTTTTTCCTGTGCTCATCAAGCTGAAAATGATCATACATGTTTTTAAAATGACAACTACTAACGTCCCTGTACCCTATGCCTGATGCATTAAACTATTAAAGGGTGGCTATTTCCCCTGTTTGCATCCTATGCAAGCTTGGCTAACCAAATAATTTTTAATAAGGATGAACTCCTCACCGCAGGGCTGATTTCATATCATGACTCGCTTTTCTCAAGAAACTAAGGCCTGCATTTATAAGAACCGATTCTGCACGTGAGTATTTTTTTTTCTTGGATCTATGATAAGAGTGCTTCTTAGATTTAAGACACTACAACAAATTGACTCTTGTGCCACGAATTATGCCACGGAAATTACTTGAAAATAAAGTGATGATAGATAACTAGAGCAATTACTTGAAAATAGACCAAGAGCAACACAGGACAATAAAATTAAAAGAAGGGAGTATATGCATATATATAAACATCAATCCCAGCATTACCCTTGAACACTTGAAGCAAAGTAATACCCTTGCATATATATCTTTTATTGATGCAACTAGAACTACTAATAATAGTGCAGAATATATGTCAGACCATTTTTTCTAATTTCATATGTTTAAAGTCATAGCTATTAAATTGAATATAGAAATAGTACTCTAATTGGTGATGGTTGAAAGTTTTTAGGTGTACATTGCCATTATTCTAGAAACTAATTATGTGTGATAAATCACTAGATTACATGAAAATTATCTCTCCTCACCAACTGTAACACCAACCCAAAACTTCCATTATCCCGTGATCCGCCATTGATAAACCTTTCTTACCTCTCATCTACTCCAACATCTAAAGATAAATTATTTGTAATTTAAAAAATAATCAATTTTCTCAATTGTGTGTTAACAGCCTGATTAAGGTCGAATAGATAGAAACAAAATTCATGTGCAATTGTTCAATTTTATTCCCCATTTTCTTAGGTCCTAAAACTTGATAAAACAATACTCCATAATTATAATGATGATGTACTATGTATTTGTTAATTGCTTATATTGTACGGAGTAAATAAATAGACTTTACAGATACTTCAAAATTTTCCATGTTTTGGAATTGGATTTAAATTATGAGTATCCAAACGTAACATAAAGCAATTGCAAATTTATACTCTCAAATCAATTGAATGAATTATTATGATAAAATGAATAAACAAAGGAGTGTTACCAAACAATGCTTTTACAAAGATGATGAATGGATGGCGCAGATATGAGATCTCGTCTAGCTTCATGAGAACAGACTACTTTGAACTTGAAATCGCTGATACCATTCGACCGCAATATGCCAGAAAGACGCTATGCGGTGGCGTCAGTGGCGGCGTCATCTGAAAAGAAGAAAAGGAAGAGAGTTGGAGCTCAAGTTTTGTTATTATTTCGAGGATTCATCTTCGAATTCATTCTAATTCCTCCATCTCTTGATCTATGGGAAATGGTGATAGATTAAAAAAAAATCACAATCTATGGAAACCCCAAATTGATATCAATTATGTTAAAAATAAATTAAACCGATAGAATCCCCAAATTGATTTGAAGAAACCTAATTTCAGAGAAATATTAAATTCTAAATCTTGGAGAGAAAGAAATGACCTATAATTTGAGATTTCCTACTTCAGTAGAGAAGAGAGTAGATGACTGAGAAGAGAATGGAACATGAAGAGAAGAACTGAAGAACACAGGAGGGAGTAGGCTTTCCTTCCTTTTTTTTTATTTTTTTTTTTATAATAAATTACATGTATTTGGAGGAAGTTTTTCCGCCAAAGACTGCTTTTAGAGGGGATAATTTCCCTAAAATTTTAACTACGTTGTATGGTTAATTGCTTATGGAGGTAATTTTCCCTCCTAAATTTCACTTGTATATTTTGTAGAATTGCAATATTGATAAAAAAAATATTATTGGTTAACAACTTTATTTATAAAATTGTAATTTAGTATACGACTTTCTTGCTACTTTTTACTTTATTTTTTTGAGTGTAAAACAATTACATAACAATTGAGTAGTAGATATATACTTGTCAAAAAAAAAAAAAAAAGAGTAGTAGATATATGAGCATAGTTGCAAATTTGCATTACACATATGATGGAAAGTTTTATTTAATTACATTATTAGTTTAGTTGTGTGGTCTTGTAAAATATAAATGATGTAATTTAATAGTATTGAAAAACTGCATATGAAGTAATCCTGGGCACCGTGCCGTGCCGGGCCGCCGCGGGCCGTGCCTGGCGGGCCGCGGGCTGGTTCGTGCCGTGCCGGTCGTGCCGGCGGGCCCAGGATTTCGTGCCGTGCCGGCCATTTTCACAGGCCAGCCCACGGCACGGCACGGCCCTCGTGCCTGGCGGGCTCGTGCCGTGCCGGCCACGTGCCGGGCTGCGGGCTGGCCCGCGCGGGCTGGTGCAGTTTCCAATTTTTTTTTTTTTTTTTTTTTTTTTTTTTTTTTTTTTTAATGACAACATTATTAATTAATAAGTTTATAATGTATATAAGTTATAAAATTATAATTATAAGTTTTATAAGGTAACTTATAAGTTTATAACTTATAAGTTATTAAGTTATGAATTTTATAATTATAAGTTGAATATTTATGTTTTATAATTTGTATATTCAATATTTATATTTATATATTTACTTTATACTATTACTTTAAAATTTAATGTTTATGATTTATTAGTAATTGGTATAATTTTATTTTTTTTTAATATGAATTTACAAATTGTAACAAAACGGGGAAAAAAAGGCAAATTGGACTTTGGATGTGAATAATGCGTACTTTATATTATTATTACTTGAGTTGAGAAAATTGTACAATGATAACAATGATAAAAATCATACAATGATGGTATTAAACAAAAATTGGAAAATGATAAAATTGATATTTTTAAAATCGTACAATATACAATAATTGTCTATTCTTCTTCTCCTTCTTCTTGCTCGTCTTCGTCTTCGTCTTCGTCTTCGCCTTCGCCTTCAAGGTCATCGGCTAGTTGCATAGATTGGGAACTAGCCGAACCCGAACCGGAAGCGGAGGTTCCTTCTTCGTTGTCGTTGTGGTCGTAAGAACGGTCTTGTGAGCGATTTTCCGCATCCAACCAATCTTTGAAACACACGCACATTTCTAGTGTTCGGGTTTTAGACTTGTTCTTCTATCGTCTAAAACCCTTCCGGATGCGCTGAAAGCTCGTTCGGAGGCGACGGAGGAAACTTGGATAGCAAGAATGTCTCGTGCCATTGCCGCCAAAGTTGGATGCTTCGAGCTTTGTTGTTTCCACCATGCAAGGAGGTCGAGGCTGTTTATCTCATCGTCGTCCATGCCTTTGGTGAAGTCGTAACTCAGGTACATCTGCAACTCCGAGACGTCGCTTTGCGTTCTCCTGATTGATGAATCACCTGAAAACCTTGAAATCAAGTTAGTAGCTTGTGAAAATAAATGTTTGGCCTTCTTACTTACGTTTTTAGATGGTTGGGAAGGCCCTGAGCGAGGAACGGTGCCATATTTGGCTTCATAGACTCTATATAAAGCAAAAAACTGATCCTTCACATTAGTCTTATAGTTTTCTACATCATCGTCAAGAAACATGCATTGAAAGTAAATGTCAACTAACATAAATGTGTTTTCATACTTTTGCCTAGGATCTAATATGGAAGCAAAAATATAAATCAAAGGAATCTCACTATAATATTTACGCCACTTTTTTTCCATTGCTGGAAGATACTGATCATAATCACTTTGATCGCGATGATCAGCGAAAAGTTGGGCGAGTAAGCATGCATTAGAAAGAAAGTTTTGAGCACAAGGATTGTAAACAGTAGAAAAACAATACGTCATGTTATATAATAACTGTAAAAATTGCATATATCTTTCACAGTTATTCCAATCATCATCATACAAAGCATTTTGTGGAAATTTTTGGTTGTAAAATAATGTTAACGGGCCCTTGTACTCAATTGCCTTTGTTAACATGTCATAGGTGGAATTCCACCTAGTTGGGCAATCGGTTCTAATTTTTATTACCCTTATCTTTTGTTGTTTTAGAAAACTCTTCCATTCTTGGTATCTCATGTTAGAGCTATTAATAGACATAATAGCATCTCTGATTTTGCTGTAGTATGGGCCAATTGCCCGAACTCCATCCTGTACACATAAGTTAAGTACATGGCAAACACATCTAGTATGAAGAGCTTCACCGTCTAATAGTACATCGGTTAAGTTTTGTTTGATAAGATTAGCTGTGTATGTCATAGAGGTTGCATTATCAAAAGTCATAGACATCATTTTATCTCGAAGGTTGTATTCGTCTATTGCTTGCATTAAATGGTGAGCAATGTTAATGCCGGTGTGTGGGTATTCCAGCATTTTGAAATGTATTATTCTTTTTTGTAACATCCATTGATCATCTACCCAATGGCAAGTCACACATAAATAGTGATATTTATAACCACTATCCCAAGAATCGGCTGTTAAAGATACTCTACAGTTAAGGTTACTCAATTCGGCTTGTAACCGGACTTTGTACTCTAGGAAATTTTTCATTGCTGCGGAACGAACGGTTTTCCTAGAGATTCTTTTATGTTGGGGTTGTAGTGCTTTGTTAATGTAGGTGTTGAATGCGTCACTTTCCGAGAAAAGAAAAGGTTGTTCAGCGTGTACTATCATTTTTCCTAGTTCATCCCTATCCCTCTCATAGTTGTATGTAAAGCCGTATGGATGGAATTGGGAAATTTTGGGCTGGGTTGGATCACTAGCTGGTTTTGCACAAGCTTTCATGTGTCTAGATAAGTGTCCCGTCCCGTTTTTGGTAACTGCCGTGAATACACTATTACATGTTTTACATTTTGCCCATTGTTCACCATCTTTACTTAGGACAAAATAACGCCATACCTCACTCCTTCGGTTTTTCAAAAGTAGCATCTCAGTTTCGGTTAACCATTCATGATGTGTGTATTGGTTAGTAGGGGGACTAGTGGGAGTGGCAGTAGAAGGGGTAGTAGAACCGGAGGGAATTCGGGTACTTTCTTGGCTACCTTGGCTAGAACAATAGTTTTGTTGATTACCGATATAATTAGGTGGAAATTGGTATGGTGGTTGTGGAAATTGGTTTAGTGGTGGTGCTGGAAATCCTGACGTATTATATGGCTCATAGCCCGGGGGGAAGTAAATGGGGTCATTGGTTTGACTCGTAATTTGGGGGCTCGTTGTATTTGGTGGTTCCCTAGAACTACTACTACGGATAAGTCGACCTTTCCCCCTAGACCTAGATGATGGGTTGTTCGATGCCATAATTAACAATTAATTTTTTAATAAAAAGTGGTTAACTATAATAATAATAATTAATAACAACAATTTTAACAATAAAAATATCAATAATAATAATTAATAACAACAACTATAACAATAACAATAACAACAAAAATAAATAATAACAACAATTGTAACAATAATAATAATTAATAACAACAATTATAACAACAACAATAACAATTAACAACAATAATAATTAAACAAGATTATTCTAATAATAACTATAAAACAATAATAAATTTAAGATTAGTTTAGATCTTACAACCGTGCTTCAACGCTCCACTAATTACGATTACGAACTTTTTAATTTTTTCCGATATTAGGAAAATAATTAGAGAATTTAAGAGAATAATTAGAGAATTTAAGAAAATAAGGATTATTAGAGATTTAGAGAATATAAGAGATAAGAAGAAGAGATTGTGATTTTGTGATTTGGGAATGAAATGGAGGTGAGTATTTATAGAATTTTTGGCAAAAAACTAGCCGTTTAACTAGCCGTTGGCCCGCGGGCCGTGCTTGCGGGCCGTGCCTGCGGGCCGTGCCTTCGGGCCGTGCCTGCGGGCCGTGCCTGCGGGCCAGCACGGCGGGCCTTGCTCGTGCTCGTGCCGGGCCGTGCCTGGGAATTCTCCACCGTGTCCGTGGCACGGCCCGTGGCACGGAAGTCGACGTTCGTGCCGTGCCGTGCTTGACTTCGGGCCGTGCCGGGCTGCTCCGAACGGCGGGCCGTGCCGGGCGGCACGCGGGCCAACCCGGCCCGTGCCCAGGTTTAATATGAAGTGAGCTAGCTAGACCAAAGACTAAACTATTACTTCCTCCGTTTTCTTTTAGATGCAACACACCCTTTAGCGCGGTAATTAAGAAATGTGGGGTTTACATGATATAATAAACTTTAAAATAGGATGAGTGATTCTTAGGAGTGTAATTTAGTGGGTCATGTGCTTTAAATAAGGGATATAGTATAATTTTTCCCTAAAGTAACTTTCCTTTTACAGTGTGTTTTAAGTATTGTGACATTTCCTTCTTAGGAAAGTGTTGCAAGTAAGAGAAAACGGAGGAAGTACATAATATGACTAGGTTTACTCTAAATGTATCAAGTTTTAATTCGAGATAGTTCATTTCGAATTGAAAACCCTTACGAGTATATGAGTATGGCTAGATAAAAATATTTGGAATCAAGTTGTTAAAACGTGTTTTAACAACCAGCTAATATTACTCAGCTCTAATAATGTTGTTAGTCAACTTTTATTAGATTATTAAGATAGTATTTGGAGTATTAACTAGTAAGTTACTCTGTGACTATTTTTTTATTTGGCCTTAGTTAAATAGGTAAAATGATAAATTGATGTAATAACCTCATTAAATATTCAAATCTTAGTTGTAAGAAAAAATGATAATGTTTATCATTACTTGACTTTATAGCAATGATTTTGTTACATTGTTTTCAACACTAATGTTTAATTGCTTGAATACACGGAAGTTCACAAACAGTTTAGTTATTGACTCGATCCAAACTCGTCCCGAATACCCAATTTGCAAAATCTAGTTATTACATGATGATGTGGTAATTTTGTTATTCACCTAAATCATTTTTAGTTTTTGACCCATTAATCAATAAGAATTATATATACTACGTATATAGGAAACAATATAATAGTGTGTGTACTTGTTAGAAATCAACATTATTAATCTTTTATTAATAATCAATTGTTATAATTGAAATTACTTACTCTACTTTTCTAACAAACGACTGGGGTTTTATAGACTTGTTCTCTTTAACTTATTTCAGATAATTATTACTTATTCCTTAATAAATCCAGATCAGAACTTTTAATTATAATCACTTACTTATTGCTAAATATGGTTAATTTTGTATTTTGTTTTGATAATTATTAAATCAAATCAGACTAGACCAAATCTAAAAATTTAGATCATATCAGATAAGACACTAAACAAAACCTTACTATATCTCCTTGTCTTAGGTGACACTACAACAAATTGACACTTGTGCCACATCAAAATATATAGTTTTGGGGCATACATAACTTAACCCAAAGTCCAGTAACATTCATTCAAGTTAAAAAAAAGCTTTGACTAATGTCAATATATTAGGAAATAATTATTATATTCACGACTAATTAATTTTAATCATGAGTACATATTATATAATATATTCTATAAAATTTCTATATATATAGTAGTACCTTTGATTCTAACTATATATATATATATATGTGTTATACCTGTATAAAGTATCACTTGAGCTTTGTTTGTTATTCTATATGTTATATTATAAGATCATGCTTCCTTCCTTAAATTAAAAAAAAGAGTATAACCACGAATTGCTAGATTTTTTTTTAAAAAAAAAAAATAAAGAAAAATAAAAAAATAACCCTACTGATGTGCTGATTAGGCAGCTAATTAGCCAAAACAAAAACATCACACAAATCCCAAAATTGATTAGGCGCTAAATTCCCTTTCATTAGCTGCCAACTTATTAAAAAAATTAGCTAAACCACAAAATTCCCCTCAAAAATTAGAATCTTTCCCGAAAAAAAAAAGAAAAGAAATCAAAAATCTTTTGCAGAAGAATCAAAACCGTTCGAACTATCCCTAATTCGAAGAGTCGACTAACGCTCGCAAGATCAATTCTTGGACAAAATTTCAAGGTTAGATCTATAACCTGTTCGTTTATCTCATATGTAGTGTTTTACTATGTGAATCAATGGTGATTTAATCTATTTTTTCCAATACCTATGTGGTAGCAATTGAAATACGTTGGACTCTACTTCCTATGCTTGAATAGAATTATTCTCGAATTTTGATTATATTTTTGCAATTTCAGCTTCAATTTGGTGTGGCTCAACTGATTTTGCTCTCGCTTTCCTGTTTTCATTTAATTAATTCGATTTTTTTGTAAAAAGTAATTTCTTTGATTATACCTTTTTTTTTTGTATAATTTGTTCAATCTTCTGATAATTTGTTTGCATGTGCTGCTATTCAGTTTTTTTGGGCTTAAAAATCAAGTATAACAATTTTTCTGTTAATATGATTCAATGTTAATCGATTATCAAATATGTGCAATTCAACTCTTCAATTTACTCTGTGAAAGCTCTTTTTCAAGTGTGTGTGTAAGGGAGGGGGAGGGTATATAGTTAAGGCCAGGGGCAGTGTGCAGGGAGCACTAGTAGGGAAAATTCATATAGCGTTGCCCGAAAATCCAACAACTGAAGACTGAAGAAACAATTAACAGATCACCATTTACTTCTAGACTCTCTTTCTATTCCTATCAAATGATTGAATTGAAAAATGATAACTTATAGCTCTTTAAAAAATAGATACCAAGTCTAACTATAACTTTACTGCAATATGAAAGTTTAAGAAACAAACTATGGAGTAATGCATGAAGTATATAAAATAGTAGAATGTAAGAAATAGTACATTTGCAATTATTTTGTCTTCCCTAATTAAAGTCATTCATATTTAGTGGGGGACCATATATCTTATGCGTTACTGAGAGGCAATGCACAATGTATCTCGAGACAGTTATATGTAGTGGGGGAAGCCATAGAAAACGAAAGATAAACAGAGTCACATAATAACAAAACCAATAGTCCAACAAAACAAAAGTAAATGATGATTTAAATAATTTCAGGTCCACTTAGATAATAAGTAAGACTATTTATCAAACCAAACCCACTGAAATTAGAACAAAAGCTTAATCTTAAACTACTACTACATAATACTAGCTCTAACTACAAATCTATTGCAACATAAACTGACAAATTCTGTTGGAAATGTGCCATTCTAGTCATTGTGAATTATGTATGACTATTGATAATTATTATTATTACTTTTCAATTTTTTTAATAATTAGCTCTCTTTGCATTTATAGCTTTTATTTTCACATGGATACTCTGGATGTTCAAAAGAGGTTAGAGTGGATGAGGTGTGCTAATAGGACAGACAATCTCTATATAAATGGAGTTAATTCCTTTCTTCAATTTGCTTTTGGTGACTTAGAAACAAATAGTGATTTAGGAGAAGAGGAAAATAAGGTACCTTGCCCTTGTAATCGATGCAACAATGGTCCACATAAAACAAGGGACGAAATTTACACCGACTTGATAGTGAATGGAATCGTGCAAGGTTATGTTCGTTGGATCTATCATGGAGAATTCAAACCCCCACAAAAGAAAAGTAGAAATTATTTGGGAGATAGTGCTCATGATGATATATAGAATGATCCATGACAGGTTTAGTCCCGGAGTTTCTAATAATGATGACATAGATGACATGTTAGATGCTGAGCAACAACCTAAGGAGTTTGATCAACCTAGATATATAAAAGGATACAAAAGAGGCAAAAATGTTTGAAAATTTGATGAGGCAAACTTTATACCCCGGGTGTAATGAATTTTCTATATTGTCATTCATTTTGAAGTTATTCCAAATCAAATGTATGGATGGCATGACTAATAAAGCTATTACTAGTATGCTTCATATGTTCAAAAATGCTTTGCCTAAAGGTGCTGATTTGCCATCAAATTATTATGAAGCACGTAAGATGATTACTAATCTTGGTTTCGATTATGAAAAAATAGAAGCATGTGAAAATGATTGTATGCTATTTTGGAAAGAGAATGCTAACCTTGAAAAGTGTTCCATATGCGATACTAAGCGTGATAAAGCTTCTCCTAAAGTGTTACGCTATTTCCCACTAACTTCGAGGTTGCAAAGGCTATTCATGTCGTCCAAAACAGCAAATGAGATGAGGTGGCACTCTGATAAACGAGAAGATGACGGAGTACTTAGACAATTGTATGTAATAACTACTCTTTCTAATTTTAACTTTTGATTCTTGCCATATGTAGGACTACAATACTCTATGATGTCACATCAAGCCTTAATCAGTACCTTTACTACATTCTATCATTTTCCAAAAAGCTCAAAAGGCTACACTAAATAAACTAATGAGACAAGCCCTGCCTGTACACTAGCCCCCTCCCTTCCTGCATACCAGCCCCCTCCCCCTCCCTGCCTGCACACCTGCCCCGACCCCCTCGTGCCAGATGCCACCTGCCTGCACATACCTGCATCCCCTCCCTACTTGCACACCAGCTGAATACTTTTTTTTTTTAAGCGGAAGCAGTGTTTGGGGCAGGATTGCTTGTTGTGAGAACCGGATTTGTTAGTGATATGACTCAGAGGGAGTCATCCCACATTACAGAACCCCCAAATGATGGAGCAGTGTAGAGTTGCTCCCTTGCATCTAGCCCCCTAAGTCTTAGAGGTGCTACAGCGGTTCTAAGACTTAAAGGAGACTGATGATTCACGACTGAAAAATCTGCTGAGATTTTGATTTTTCTACTGAAAAATCTGAACTGCTTTGATAATAATCTTACTTTCTTGCTACAGCATCGGAATATTCCGCTCGCTGAAAATATTCTGACTTTTGCTGAAAATTTCGATTTCCCTGCTGAAGTTTTTAATTTTTCTACTGAAAAAATCTGGTTGACTTGCTGAAAAATCAGATTCTTCTTGCCGAGGAACTTTATTTCCTTGCAAAAATTTCATTTCTTCTTCTGAGAAGCCTACAACCTCGCTGAAATTCTCATTTTTCTGCTGGAAATGCTGACTCCTGCTGAAATTTTGCAAGGATATAGCTTTTTCTTCTTGAAAATCTTGTTGTTTTTTGAAACATTTGATTATCCTGCTTGCTAAAAAGTTCTGATTTTCGCTGGAAACTTCGATTTTCTTGCTTAAACTCTGACTGACTTGGTGAAAAATCTGGTTTCTCTTGCTGAGAAATATTACTGCTTTGCCAAAATCTTGAATTATCTTCTGAGAAGCTTTCTTCCTTGGTGAAATTCATATTTTCCATTGAAAAAACTGAAACTACTGCTTAGATTTTGTGAGAATATCGATTTTTCTTCTGAAAAATCTTACTGTCTTGCTGAAAATTCTGATTTCTTTTGCTGACAAACCTTGCTAATTTTCAAGAGTCATCAATGTTGAGCTAGCTGCTGCAGTTCTTAGCTGATCTGAAATCTTATCAAACTGAAGAATTTGACTTTGAATTTATTGTCCTTTACCCACTTATTGAATTGTGGGAGTTCTTCTGCTCTTACATCCTCTACACAAGCTATAAAATTTTGCATCAAACTCGGCGGCAGCTCACTGCTGCGAAGCTAGACTTTGTGCTCCGCAATATTATGCTGACTGGTAGGAAAACGCTTTGATCAGACTAATTTTGTCGATCAGAGTACAGTAGGAGCCTTTACTTCCTTTGTACGTATGATCATGACATCCTAGAGGAGTCAGGTATCACTTTGACGTTATACCTAAACAATCATACTTTTTCTTCAATAGTAAAATCAAGGAGCAGTAGCTTGTAGGCTTTAGGGTCTGTAGGCCTTATTATCCAACAAAACTTGCACACCAGCTGAATTTTTTTTTTTTTTTTTATTAGCTGAATTCTTAACACATGGAAATTTAAATTCTGTTGGACATAACTAAATGTCATTAGCTTCTAAACGACTAAAAATTTTACGAAGTAATTCTCGTACTTATTCAAAATATGCAAACGTACAATAATTGGGAGTGTAATTTGATTCTAAAAACTCTGTAATGTTTGTAGAAGAAGAAGAATGGCGGGAAGTGTTCTCGAGTTGATGTATTGGTTGCAACTCGTACAAGAAAATCTGAGAAGGCTGTAAATGCAATCAATTTGGCAAATAACACTCATGCAGTAGTAAGTTTATAAGTTTTATGTTTGTTATTTTCTATTTAACATTTACCATCTTATCTTCTAACTTAATATTGTTTATTCATAGGATGAGATAAACAAATTAAAGGAACAAAGAGAGCAAGGTCTTAATGAGAAAACAGATGAGCAAATTATTCAGGATGTGCTTGGCAAAGATACACATGGGTATTTGAAAGCTCATGGACCTGGTAGAAGTATAACGCAACATTTTAAAGTAAAGCCCTCTCGAATTGATCTTACTCAAGAGGTGAATGAAGTTATAAAGAAAGCAGATCAAGCAATTGAAGATGAAAGAAAAGAAGCTGAAACTGCTAGAACAGAAGCAGAACAGGCTAAAATAGAAGCTGAACAAGCCAAAAAAGAGGCGGAAACTGTTAAGAATGACGTGGACAGAAAAATTGCTGATAATAATGCAGTTTGGGAGAAGAAGTTTAGTCAACTTCTGGATTTTCTTGGAGCAGGAAGTTCATCAGATTCTGATGATTTAGGAAGTCAAGGTTCAAGGGAATGAAGTAAGTAATGCTATCTTCACCTGTTATACATTATTCATTGGTGCATGATTCATCTTAGATATAAGTTTATGAGCTTAAAGTAGTTATACATTATTCACCTGTTATACATTATTCACCTGTTATAGCAGCAGTAGTTAGACATTAAAGAATTTTTCCATGTGCGAGTTGTTATAATTTATGAGCTTAAAGTTAATTGTTCTATATTTTGTGTCAATTTGACTTTTTCATTTCGAAAACATATCCTTATTTTGGTGCTCTTTTTGATAAAAATATTAACTTGATCATTTATCTATTTATTCATTGTAGGTAACAAGGAGCGGAGCACAGACATATTGTCACATTGTACATATATATAGAGTATATATTGTTCTTCAGCAAAACGATTTGAGTGTTTTATTTTTTATTTATTTTAGTAAGAGTGAGCTAGTGATGAGACAATGAGACAATTGATTTCTAGTATGTTTGTATGTATGGATATCGAATTCAAGTATGTTTGAATGAATGGGATTCCAAGACATAATATCACCTTTTTAATGTTATATATCGATTTCAAGAATGACAAATATGACATATTTGAGAAAAACTCGATCTTTAATATTCAGTTATGCGTATACCATAAATGCTGCAACAAATTAAAGCTTATGCCCATTGAAATTATTAGCCACGATAGTCATTAGTGTAAAATGATATTATTTGTCACGATAGTAATGTGGCAATGGATTTATTTGCCACGGTATTATTTGTGGCAAATAAATAATTAGCTACAGTATATTGCGGCGACAAAGTTTATTAGCCACGGTAATATTTGTGGCAAAGAAGATTACTGGTCACGGTAATATTTGTGGCAAAGAAGATTACTGGTCACGGTAATGTTTGTGGCAACTAAGTTTATTAGCCACGGTAGAATTTGTGGCAAAGAACTTGTTAGCCACATTAATATTCGTGGCAAGTGAATTTGTTTGCCACGTTACATACCCGTGGCATAAAATTCGAAATTTGCCACGACATCCATTTTCCCGTGGCAAATTTCCTAGCCACGGCCTCTTGTGTCACAAGAGTAAATTTAAAAAATTCCCGTGGCTACACTACATTGCCACAAGAATTTTAAACTTGTGCCACGATTTTACTCGTGGCACAAAGGTGAATTTGTTGTAGTGTAATCTGACGGCTCCTCCTGATAGGATTTCAATTACGTGGTAGGGACCTATCCAATTAGGTTTGAATTTACCTCTTGGATCGGTTGGTGGACCCCTAACCTCCTTTAGTACAAAATCACCTTCTTTTATATTTCTAGGCTTTACCCTTTTATTAAAATGACGTGTGGTGTGCCTCAGTCGTATGCAACCAAAAATATCACAACTAAGCTAACTGCAAATAAACGTAGTTAGGGAAGTCGAGTTCGAATCCACAGGGAAAAAGGGACTAATAACTGGAAACCTAAGTGGAAATACTCTAGGACGGTAGTAACCTAAGTAACGAGGGGGGTTTTCACGAGCAATGATGATAAATGAACTAAGTAAGAACAACGAACGTAATGAATAGGTAATCAATGAGAAGAACGGTCTTGGTTATGCGAAATCCACTAATGAACATACAAATTGATCATAGAAGTCTCCTCAATCAAGCTCTATTGAACACCTTGTTGTAGAATTCCTAGATTCTAAATTCTCATAAATAGTTAGAAATAGCAAAGCGCTCCTTTCTAACCCTTTCCAATGCACAATTCAAGACAAGCGCTCTAAATTATCCACAAGAAGAAAATAAACGGAGAAATCAACAAGGATTGAATAAATTAACACAAGCGGGCTAATTTCTTCAATAATATTATTCCCTCTTCAAGTTATCAACCAAAAGCATGCATCAATAACCTAAAGTTGCTACTTTGGAAAGATTAATTAGATGCAAGCGAATCCAATAATTCTAACCTAGCAATTGATTAAAGCAAATCATGAAATTAATTCAAGGAACAATATATATTCAATAGATATTAAGAGAAGAAAGATCTCACAATTCGTAGCTAAAAGCTTCAATCTTTAACCAAGAATCCGGAAGATTAAGCTTCCATGGATTCTAATTCCAAAACAAAGAATTCTGAAAATTCCAAGAAAACCCTAGAAAGCTTTTTTTTCTCAAAACTTAATTCTCCTTTTCTAACTTCAAACTTAATTAAAACTAAGCTATTTATATGTTTCTATATTTTAATAACATAACACAATAGTAATAATAAAATAATATCCAAAACACGAGCCAAAACAAAGCCAAATTGCTGAAAATTAACCAAAACAGCCCGAATTTCTGCCAGAGCCGCTGCCAGCTGCTCTGGACCCGCTGGCAGCTGCTCTGGCAGCCCCTCACTCTGGTATACCCGCTGCCAGCGGCTCTGGCCAGCTGCCAGCGGCCCTGGCAGCGGTTCCTGCTGTTTTCGCCTTCTTTCCTTGCTTATTCTTCTTGCTTTGCTTCACCTTTTCCTCAAGCTTTCTTCCTTGCTCTTCCATGCTCCATCACAACTCTCAAATCACGAGCCAAGGTCCATCCTTCTTACATAACTCTTCATTGGTTCCCGAGCTCACTCACTCACTTATACTCATAAATCCCGCCTTTTGCACATAAGTGAGATCACAGCCCAAAACTCACAAAAGCTAACAAAAGTACATATAAAGCATCAAAACACACCCTAAAATGCTTCTCTCAACCCATGATAAGAAGGCTTATCAAATTCCCCCATGCTTGAACCTTTACTCGCCCTCGAGTAAACTTAGAGAATAAAACACATCCTCCTCACTAAGGTTCAAAACAGAAGATGGTGGAATCAAACTAGCTCTATGCACTCAAACTCAACAAAACATCCTAGTACTTATCAACCAATCACAATCACACTCCCCCATACTTCACACTTTGAATCTCCCTTTTTTCTTATTTATCAATTCATCCCCAAAATCAACTTGGAACGATAAACGCATAGCCATGAGTATGAATATTCTCAACCGCCTAAAGAAATGAAATTTTTGATAAAATTGGGCAAACAAAAACTCAACTTAACCAAAAATCTCATAAAAACACTTCCACATTCAAGAGTGAAAACAAACAACTCATGCTCTCAAATTCCTAAGATGATCAACAAATTCCCCCAAAATCTCAACTATCTCCCAAAATCACCAAGATGAAACCTACCCCGACACCTCCTTATATCTCCTCCCCTTATGACACCGACTCCGGCAAATAGATGCGAAATTTCCTTGAAAAATCAAATTCATGAACATTTCTCTCTTTTTTCTCTCATTTTGCCTAGGAGCCCTTTCGGGTTTTCATCCTAGCCTCTCATCTTTTTCCAAATCTCACTTTCTCACCCACTCATTAGCCACTTTTTTGCTTAGGTCGCCCTTTCGGGTTTTCAACCTAACCGGGCCCCCATTTTTGCCTAAGCCGCCTTTTCAGGTTTTCGACTTAGCGGGTTTCTTTTTCTTTTTTCTTTCTTTCTTTTTTTTTTTTCATACTTTTTTCTGTTTTTTTTTTCAAGCTTGCTTCATTGAACCACAATTAAGATAGTTATACAAAACATGAAATCAAGATAACTATACAAAATTCAAAGAATATATGCAAGAATTTCTTCCCCCCCCCTACTTGAATGAAGCATTGTCCTCGATGCAAGAACAACTACAATGAAACCAAAAGTAAGGGAAAAAGAAGAAAATCGTTACCATCTCAATGAGAGGGACCTCCAGAGCCAGAAGAGCCGGCATCGCCCCGAGAAGCACGCCTCTCGGAACGACGCAAAGCACGGGATGCCAAATGATCCATGAACGCCTCAGTTGGAGGCTCATACAGCGGATACTGAGTGGTGTAAAACCGACTCATGCTTCTTTGATATGCAAGCAGCTCGTGCATCCCATCGCACACCTCCTCTAGTCTATCATCCACATCAGCCCTCCATCGAGGCCAATCATCGTGCTGCACTCCAGCAGCATCCTCACCCCCTTCCTCATCAACAAACTCTCCGCCCATATGAACATCGGGATTCTCCTCTCCCATGTTCTCAACTATGATTTCAGCATCTCCCAAATAAGGAGCAACATCCGGGTCGGGCGGAAGGAAAAAGTCTGCAGCAGTAGGGCCAAAAGGTAATGCTCGTCCCTCGGGACGAGGAAGTCTCAAATAGTTCAAACCCTGCGGTCCGTATCGCCAGAAATAACTACCGGCGACGGGGGAACGCGATAATAAACCGATCTTGACCAGAGTCATGATGTTATATGTCAAGTATGTCGAGTCTACTGGCACAAGATCCTCAGGGGGTGGAACATTCAAATAACAGGCTAGCAAAGAGACCATGCCACCCATACTAATATGGCCACTGGAGTTGGACTTCACCTTTACACAACTATCAACAAAAATCTCCACCCAATTTGGCGTACCGACACCTTCAGGGGTCATCGCCCACAAATACGACAATGTGACTTTGGGGACCTTAGTGGCCTCCCCTTGGCATAGAATAGTGGACGATATAAACCTATGCACCAGTCTAAGGCATGGGTGGGTGATTTTGAAGCTATGATCACCATGAGGGTCAACTTCACAACCAGTTATAGCCCTCCAAAATGTTCGGGACGAGTACGTGCTATAATCACCCCAACGGTTCACCAATGGGGGTGCATCCCAACCAAATGCCATACGCAAATCATCATAAGACATCACATAATTCCTATTGTTCAAATTAAAGGATATTTGTTCACGTCCTTTAGTAAGCGTTGAAAGGAATTCATATGTATACCTGACATAGGTGGGAGCGCATTTGGTCATGAAATTCTCGAGACCCACGTTCCTTAGCAAGAGCCGCACTCCTTCCTCCATCTCTAGCTCTTGTAGAGCTTCTAAGTCAAAGAACTTGGTGCATTGCACCGTTCGTCGGGGTTGTTGAAGCTTAGTCCATACGCCCTTCTCCTTGGAATGCAACCGAACACCCATGAAACCATCCCCTTGAGGCAATGGAGGTGCCTCCCCTTGACTTGAAGAAGCCCCTTGCTTCTTGCCCCTTGAGGGTCTTGATGGAGATGAAGCCTTGGACCTCTTGTTATCCCTTCCCATGACTTTAGTTGTATGCTTGAATCTTCACCCTCACCTTCAATTACAAGAAGTTCACGTTGCACAACCTCACAACCACTCAATGTCACCCTTGGAATCAAGAGCAAATGGAAAACCTAGGTGAAATTGTGATGGGAATTGAGAATTTGATGAAAGATGAAGATTTGGGAAAGGGAAATTGGTAGGAATTTGGTATAATTGGAGTAGGGGAATGAATGAGTAGAGAGAAGGAAAAGAAAAGGAGTAAGGGTTTATGTGAATTGGGGTTGAGGGAAGAAATAATGAAGTTGGAGTTGGAAAAGGGGAAATAAGGGGAAAAAAAAAATCGGGGAGAGCTGTAGGAGCCGCTGGTAGCGGCTTGAGGCCCGCTGCCAGCGGCTCTGGCAGATTTTGGTGAATTTTTTTTTTTTTTTTTTTTTTTTTTTTTTTTTTTTTTTTTGAAATTAACAAAACGTAGAGGGGGGGGCCCGCTGGCAGCGGCTCAGGAGCAGCTACCAGCGGCTGGGA